TCGTCCCGCAGCAGCCCGGCGCTCCCAGGTATGGCCCTGGGAGCGATTTTCCAGTCCTGGACCAGGAATCCTGAGCCTGGGCTGATCGTGGGGCGGGAGGCACCGGCCCGGGAGGGAGAGACGCAGTGGCCACAGAGCCCGGCTGAGCAGTAACCCTCATTTGAATTCGGGGAGCCTGGCCAGGGCCCTCGGGCACTCCCGAGAGAGCTGTGCGCTGTCACCACAGTCCTGCCGGGAGGAGAAGGGGATGTTTCTTTTGGAGACTGCCCCAGTGGCGGGAGGGAATGAGTTGGGGAGGAGGCCTGCGCACCTCTGCCCCCATCCTCACCCCCACTTGTCTCCCGGTCCTAATTATGCCTCTCCCTCTCCCTCGCAGAGAGAGACATTGTCCCCAGGCCGGACTCGCCGCCACAGCAGTTAAAGTCGCCCTTCCAGCCGGTGCGCGACAAGTGAGTGCCCTTTGCTTTACCACTGGTTCAGGGAGGGAGCAGGGTTGGTTGGCGGTGGGGTCGCGCAGTCAGTGTTGAAGGGACCTTGTACGCCTGCCTAAGAGGCCCGGCCAGCTGGGTCCACCCGGGTTTCTCCCGAGCCGGGAGCCGCGCGGGCCAGGCGACCCGTTGCCCCGCCCCCCGGGCGCTTGGCTGGCTGACCCAGCGATGCCGGGTCCCAGCGTCCATCCTCTGACAGTGCCTTTGCCTTTTTGTCTTGCTGTGTTTTCCCCGCAGCTCGCTGGCCCCACAGGAGGGAACGCCTCGGATCCTAGCAGCCCTCCCGTCCGCCTGATTCAGGGTCTTCTTTTAGTTTTGCGGGGGGAGGGGGGAGGAGTTTGGGAGGGAGGGGATGAGGGAGGAATTAAGACAAATATTTCAGACTGGTGTAAAGAACAAACATGGCAACGACGTCAAATGACTCCCGTCCATCGCTTTCTGCAGAAAGGGGCTCGTCCCCGCCGAGCTCGCTGGAGTTCAGACAGCTGGCTTCCGCCAGCGACTGGGCTCTGGTGGCTGTCACCAGGCTCTGGTTGATTATCGGCTGGGTAAATGCCCCCACGTGCTTGTGTCTTTTTTTTTCTTTCTTTCTGTATATAGAGTGATTTCAGATTGTAAATAGCGCGTCAGCGAACTTGTCTAAATCATATATTTTTGTCTAATAAACTAAATGAAATGAAGCCACTGCTCCCTGCTGCTCTTTGTGGCTGTGGGTTCCTGAGTCCCAGAATTCTTGCAGGGCCCAAGTGCCCCAGGCGTGGGGAGGAGAGGCTCCTCGGAGAGCTCCCACCCAGGTGGTGGGTGTTTCTCAGTCTTGGTTGTTGAATCTGTGATATTGTCATTAGGGCAGTTTCTTGTTGACAGTTTGATTCTTAACAACTCTTACACATATATATGTGGGACACCCCTTTCTCAGGACAAAAATGAGTTCGATTTTAGTCCGTTTCTAAACCGATTTCTTAAAGTGGGCAACAGTGGTGAAAAAATTTCCAATCTTGTCCCCAAAGGGGAACTTGAAATTTGAAATCAATGTATACTTCGTTGTCTCAACTGCATGGTTGCACAGGTCTTTCATGGGTAGAATGAGGACGTAATGGAGTGAAATTTTGCTTTGAATGTATTTTTAGTTATTTGGCTAAAATCAAACGTGGAGAAATTGGAAGACTTTTTAAAACTCTCCTGATGGAGAGCGGGGATGCAGGGTAGGGGTGTTCTCTGGGCGTGTGAGCTAGGCGACTGGGTAGTGGTGGTGGGGAGAAAAAGAGGGGAGGTTTTGGTCTTCAAGGGACGCCCCCTTTAAATTGCTGCGCCCTCGAGGGGGTGCAACGAGTGAGCGAGCCAAGGACCAAATAAATCCCCAGAGGTTCTAGGCGGGGCCTTCAGGCAGCTGGGAGTCACGCGAGAGACAATGCTGGCCCGCTCCGGCCTCGCGCGCACGCGGGAAGGCAATGGCCGGGAGGCTCGGGACCGCGT